GCCCTGAAGGTTCTGCAAGAGAGGAAGCCAGGGGAGCATGTGGAATGACCTGCAAAGCTAGATGCTCGCGATGGGCACTTAATTCAAATCCGGGAGCGCTACCATATATATTCCAAAAAGAACCGACTTTTGGCGAGTATTTTGCGAATAGCAGGCTAAATATTGATTTCTGACATATGTTTGGTATAGCAAATATGTTTCTACATATGTTCTCCATCTTTTGACAAAAAACTGAAATAAGCGCCCAAACACGTTATGTCATGTAGTGTCTTCTCAATCAGGCATATGTTTAATAAGACATTCTATGTTATAGAGAGGTTCTGAGCATGCCGAGAGGTGCCGGACAGTCATTATAGGCCTAGAATTACCTTATACAGTTGCTAGGCTGGTTACTAGTATGTCATGCAACGTGTTTTGTAGCATTTGCTACTATATCAAGCTTCAAACCTGAGCCATCATCTCGATGACTCTGACATCAGTGTCCTCTGGTTTTCATCTTCTCAGACAAAGAACGCCAACGCTTGTTGCCAATTTCGTTTGCATTGCACCACCAGATGTCAAATGGCTGGAAACATCGCCAGTCGCTTGATGGATACCTTGAATGATATGGGGACAGTCCAGCCTTCAAAGTACATCAATAGTTGTACGTTGCGCCCTCACAACCCACAAGACTGGATGCTGCAGTTGTACAACCATATCATCTTTTGTCTAATTGCTTGTTTGATGGCAAAGAGAGATAGTGCAAAGAGGAAGAGAAGATGGGCCTGCAAATCTTGGCAACTAGATATTTTTCCACAAAACCTTGTGCGTTGACTACACAACGCCGTCGGCACCTCTGTCAGTGCCTGCAGCAGTCACGACGACCATGGTAGCGGCGACATAAACTCATAGCCAGTACATAGCTATGATGGCTGTACGAGCCGGCGATCGTCTCATATCCAATCCAAGTCATACATCACGCCGCACTTGCGCGCACATCTTAATCTGACCTCTTTGCAGCTTTTCAAGGAATTAAACCTACCTGCAGACAAATGTTTACCACCAACACCGGCACCTAATACCTCTGACAACGTAGTCAACAGAAATGTAAGCGGACTGAAGCCGAATGTCAATGCCGCGCTGCCCCAGCTGTCTCCTCCACTCCTCCAATCAATAGGGCTGCAAACCTGCCTCCTACTACCTCGGAAACAATGCAGCTCCCGGGAAAGCTGAAAAGTCTGGCCAAGGCGAGAAGAAGGAGCTCATGGAGAGAACACAGCTGCCAAAGGGTTCGAAGCCAGCTGACCTTGCGCAGAGTGGAAGAGCGACCGCTGGAACAGAGACCGCGTTACCTGGCAGCATGATCTTCACCTGCAACCCCGATTCAAATGGACCATTTGTGGCCTTCCATAAACAAGCGTGGGCTGGTGTGCATTCCCAGACTTCTGCGAAAAGGGCCTCGACAGTGAGGTGTTGGACCCTGCCCACCACAAGACAGGCATGGCTGTGCGCTGAATGCCCTCGTCTTTGAAGATGGACCCCAGCCTGCCCGCTCCCACTCCCGCCCCCCGCCGAGCTGAGCAGCATCTGCAACCAGGCCTTCTCGCCAGAAGTCAATGAGCCAAATCTATTAAAGGTGCGGAGCATCTTGCCCACAGGCACACTTGGCGTCACTGCACTCTGTTTCCTCACCTGGCTCTTCACTGCCTGTAGAAAGTGCACTGGTCTGCTCGCCTGGTTTATCTGGAGCGACCTCATCTGGGGCATTGCCGCTGCTGTGCAGATCAGCATCAAGAATGCCGTGCGCAAGGTTGAGAAGGAACTTGAACACATCTGGTTCAACCTCCAGCTGTGCACAGCCTGCCGATGTCCGAGTCTGTCAAGTGGCTGAATGCCATCGTCAAGCTTGTTTGGGGCCTTGTGGACCCCGAGATGTTCATCTCTATCGTTGACATAAGGACACACCTCTGAAACGATATGCCATGCTGAATGCACCTTTTACAGATGGTCAAATAGGCGCTTCAGGCATCGCTCCCATCCTTTGTTGTCAACGAATCCGATGCTCATTGTGTCAACACATGCGCTGCCAGATCAGCCAGGACACCCAAATTACCCTCAGAAAGAGTAGGTCGGCTTGGACCAGAACGAGGAGAGCCGCAAGAAGGTCACGGAGGTTGAATCTGAGATCTCTGAGGGTCCTGCGAAGTAGATCTACACAGATCAAACTGGCGATTATCTGGTGCATTTTTTGCTTCAAGGGTTTCATGCGCCAAATGTTGAGCTCTCAGAATGCAGCATTACAAAGTTTCGATTTCGCACCAAGCTTTTCGAGCCAGCAGAAGAAACTCCGATTCCATGACATGCATCTCATCCTCAAGTTTTTCGTTGTGGGCATGAGACTAGTTAAACTCCCCATCCCGGTCTACACTATGGTTGTAGGCTTTGTCGCCGCCGCGCGCTTTAGAGTGCAGTTTGTGCAGAATCTGCCGTTTGTCAGACATTTAGCTGTTACACTAATGGATGTGCCCAAAGTAAGTCTGACCGTTGTGTAGTCTCAAGGAAGAATTACAAGTTGCACAGACTGAAGTTAGCATTGAGCCATTCACAAAGAAACTGTCCAATGTCCTTGACCTGCCGGTAATCCAGAAGTTTGTAAAGGTGGATGTCACCGCTGCAGTACATGCCTCTCCTTTTGTTGCAATGCACCATCTGACTGGTCTCACAGTGTGTCCGATACATCGCGCCCAAGTCACTCACGATCAACTTTGCCCAGATGCTCACGGGTGACGACGTGAAAAATGGACATAAAAGCGCTCGGTGTAATCGTGGTGATGGTCCACTGCGCTGTCAGCCTCAACACGCAGGACTCGAACGGGAAGAGCAATTTGTACATCGTGCTCGCGTATGCCAAGTTCGGCAAGCCTCTCCACGCCACGCACATCATTCAGAGCGACCTGAACCCTGTCTGAAAAGAGACTGCGGTGCTACTCCTCACAGATGATGAGGTCAAGGGCGAGGAGAACCTGAGCGTGATGCTCTGGGACTCGGACAAGCACTCAGCAGACAACCTCATCGGACGTGTGACGGTTCTGGTTGTGAAGCTGATGAAGGACGTAAGTGCTGGTGTCTGGGCGATGGGCACATGTGGATGCTGTTTGTGTGGGCGACAGCCTGGCGAGATGCATGCTGGAATGAATAAGCTGCAGGGTTACAAAGATGCGAATGACATATCTGAGATGCTGCATTGAGAGACTGGCTATTTGTAAGTACTGGTGCTACTAGGCTGTTGCGGAACCTTTGCTGACCGAGAGCGGTATGTAAGCAAGAAAGTGTCCCTTAACAATGCACTCAAGAAGGAGGAAAGCCCAAACATCCTGTCTGTTGCCAAGGAGAAGCACGAACAGGTGCAGAAGAAGCATACCGTCGCCGGCTCTCAGGAAGAGACTGATGCGCTCAGGACGCCTCCAGATCTGAACATTCCTAGAGGTGTTCTTAGCGTAGTTATTCACCAGATCAATAATCGAAGGTATTTCACACAGAGCATAAAATGGGAATGCGCTCATCACTTCGATAGTTGAACGCCAGGATATCAAAGGTGTTTCTGGCAGGTGTGAAGGTCAGGTGCCACCCGGTCGTGGGGCGCTGCACCCTGACGACTTTGCATTCTTCGCAGATTGGCATATTCCACACAAGTTAAGGATGCTTGATATTGTTTGTCTGGCATAGCAGCCGCCGCGCGAATGTGGAGCTGGAGACTTGCCGACTTGATGAGCTCTCAGTATATTGTCCATAATTGCCCAGTTAACTTGTTATACAGCACATTAGGCTTTGATAGTGTGCAGTCCGTGCTGTAATGTAAGGTAGATGTATGGTATCCATGCTAATTGATCTGTGTGGTGGCTCTTACTATGTGGGATCCCATTGCAAGGTAGTGGAATATGCCAATAGGAATCAGTAGGATTCCTTGGAAGTATCAATGTAAACCATAAACATATTCTAGTGGGTAACACATTGAAAATCAGTGGGACTGCAGTGAGACCCTCGAGATCTCAGTAGGTGCAGCCACTGGTTTATCATGGGCGATTCCATTAAAAATCAGTGGATGTTGGTGCAACTAGCGGAATACCCACTTACTAGATCAATGGGTGACCCACTGAAACGTCAGTGGGAAAATTATCGTGGGCGTAGCCCCGGCCTCCTATTTTATTTCCATTTTCTCCGATTTATCCCATGTTTATACGACCCTCCAAACGTCGTCGGCGCATTGGCGCCAGTTTACAAGTCCTAGCCGCGCGCTAAACACCTTGAGAACGCATCACCGACGGGCACGCATCAGCGCACCAGACGCGCCTGTATCGCCGCCGCCCCGCCACCGCATCACGCTTCCCCGGTAACAGCCGCACTCCGATCTCCACCGGACATCCGATCTCCGTCGGCCCGCCAACGTCATCAGATATGACACGCCGGCCCCCGTCTATCTCTGAGTCCGATCGGCAACAGACATCCTATCCCCGTCGGCCCGACAACGTCATCAGATATGACACGCCGGCCCTCGCTTCTCCACCAAAAGTCCCCTAAACGCCAGCAGCCGCCATAGCACAGTCGCTTATGTAACGCCTGGTCCGTGCGCAGCCTGAGTAGTATAAAAGGGACCCCTTTGTTGCTACCTAGCCCCATCTCAACCTCTTGGTTATTGGGCTAGGTAAGCCTTTGTTTGTATCGTAGTACAGTCACTAATACAACTTGGTTATTGGGCTAGCTGAATAAGCTAACGCATAGTCGCCAGACCTCGTCGGCGCCGCCTTCTGATTAGATCCACTTAGTATCCCTCGTAGTGTGTCGACGCAAGTCCACATCAAAAATGGCATACCCAGTGGGATTTCCAGGGAGAAAAATTAGTGGATTTTCCCTTTCTTAGACATGGCATATACTAGAGGAGGGCCGTCTGCGCCGGCAGAAACCTTGCTTGTTCTCAGAGATACCCTAGTCATTCACGGCAAATATATGGTATATAACTAGAGTTACACATAGAGCATTAACATGTATGAGTTACAATTTTCCTTCAACTTGTCTGAATCTCAAGCGTGCGGTCAGTCGTTCGTGCTTGTCACAGTCGTGTGTCATTTCTTCGAGGATGGTTGTGCCACAGAGGGCAACGCCATGGGGTCACTCAGTGCGAACCTCTTGAGGGTGTTTTCGGTGACATCCCTCCAGTCGCGCGAGGGGCGCTGAGTATCCTCACGTCTATGATGTTGGCAGCGAAAGTGTCAGAGGCCTTGCCCTTGTCTTTCCCTCCGATCAACCAATGGATAATGATGAGCACATGTAGTGGCACGCCTTGGGACGCTTGTCAGGCACGAAGAGGTTCAGGCGCACGTCTGCGCGCGTGCAGACAAGCAGGTTCTCTTTGCCCTGGAGGCACGCGATGAGGTCGTCCTAGCAGCAGCCGTAGAGCGCGGCAAGGTGAATGTCAGACAGGTTCATTGTGCGCGCGATGTTGGCGTTCACGAGGTCTTCCTCGATCAGGTACAAGACGACAATTGTCGAGAACGTGTCCGAGTAGCAAAGATGGGTAGATAAGATAACGGAGATGTACAGTATTATCGGATCAAGTCGGGTAGCAGATTGATGGGCAACTATGCCTGTCTCAGCATACCTTGGCAAGCAAGGTAATCCACATTGATTTATGCATGGTATTTCCCACTTAAAATAATCGGATTCACTTCCCGCAGTCGAATAGAGCTAGTCGTTGATTTTTTGTTATGCGTGTAATCATGGATTCTACACTGGACAACATCAATATCGCGGCGCGTATGCGTCTGCGTAGTACCTGGTGAACACGTCTCGTTGGTCATGCGTGCTCGCGGTTCTGTTTTTCCGCTACGTCGTCTCTGTCCAGTAACTTATATGTTATTCGCGTACGCGCCAGGTCCCAAAACCCATCCCGCTCATATGCTGCTCCAACGTCAGACGGTCGTCTCTTTCTCCTTATCGTTTTCCCTATTTCTTTTCAAATTCTTCGGCCGGTGCAGTCGTACCTCGACGTTTCTGGTCTTGAGCGATACAGATGCATTCGGGACAGGCGATAGTGTGAGACGTCGCCGATGTGGACACTTTGTGATGCTCCTAAGTCATGTTCGATGACAGCGGTGCGCCTCCACGAACGCGGGCGATGGGCCAGGGCTCGAGCAATCAGCGAAAACAGGGGAGAAGGTCCGTTCGGGTCCGGTATGAAACGGCGCAGGCGAGGCGGCAGAATGAAGATTGTGACATGCAGCGACGACGTTGAAAAACGCAAAGCTTGCGCCACCAAAGTCTGGACCATGTGAGCATGTCCTACACTGCAAAAAAATCGAGCTTACTTAGTGTGCGTGTAGTGTGTACGACAGCGGGACTCACCTGCGTACTAAGTGTGTCACCAGTGAGCAAGCTAAAACACCGATAGACACTCTGGGAAGGCCTGTCGTATGTGCCTTTGTGTAATGTTCGTCGAGCAGAGGGTCAGATGCGGCAGGAGCTTGTATGTTCGAGTGAACTAGTCGCTTTGCCAGCAGACGACTGGGCCGCTGGCTGCTAAACTTACAATAAGCAAGGACATATGAGACATAGCAGTCAGAGAGACGCACCTCGAGATTCCTCACTACTTCGACGGCTTTGATCCACCCTCAAAGGACCCGCGTGGCATATGCATCGCTCAAGGTCGAGAAACGTACGTTCTGTTGAGGCGTCAAGTTAAGCCCGCATCACGCATGGAAACAGACGTACCACAAGGTCCGGTCAGGGTTTAGCTGGGGCCACCATTACCGCAATACGCTATCCGAGACCTGAGAGAGTGCGCACATATGACAGAAAACAAGTAGATACAAGCAGAGAAGTATCTGAGACAGCGATGAGCCATAATCTGAGCGTGGAGGATGGAGGTCGTGAAGTGCGTTCGGCAGGCTGCAGAAACGGCGTTGGACGCCCGCCCGAGCTGGCAGCCGGTGCCGCAAACCCTAACCAGAATGAAACCTGCGATATGGCACCGTAAGTCTGAACCTTGCTGCACTCAGTGCACTGTTGCTCACGCTGAGCGCTGATGTATCCCTCTGCATCCTCTTCCACAGACAGAACCATTCTGATGGCCTTCAGGTCAGGTTTCGGCTAGTCAGAAATCGCTCTCATTCAGGTCGCCGAGCATTGCGGTGCGTAAATACGCAAGCCAGTCTGCTACTCCCTTCCTACCATCGATATCACCAGTCCGTGGACACATCGCTATACAAGGACATCGTCACCTCTCGCGCCCTGATATAATACTACCGTACTATTTCTCCCCTGTATAGCCGTCCAAGCTGACCCTACTGTTCTGTCATGGCTTCCTATCTACGTCTCGCGACTGGCAGCACATTGTGCCTCGTCCGAACAACAAGGACTACAGCGTGCTCGCCCTGAACATGCTCAGCTATGGCGGAACTGGCAAGCCTACCGATCCGGTGGCGTACGTCCCAAAGCTTGATATCGAGAGACATTGTCGATGTCTTGGATGCCGAGAAGCTCGAGAAGGTTATTTGCTTCGGACAGCGCTGGTGAGCTCACCCTATTCCTCATCGCTGCGGGGTAACCCGGATGCTGGACCGCCAATTGCAGGGGCTGCAAGGCGATCTCGCGTCCCGCGAACTATTATCACGAGCGCACCATCGGCTGCGTCTTCCCCACCACCTCCTTCACACAAGTGCTTCCCCCGATGGACTTTCAAGTGTTCCTGGATTCTCGGGCACGAGACGTTCGGCTAGTTGAGATTTCTCGGTAAATCAGACGCAAACGAGGTTGTACGTAGGTGGCAGACGCGTGCACACCTTGTCCTACAACCGCTGACGCGTTTCGCAGATCGACTCGTTCGTCAGCGTCATGTTTGCGCAACCCTGGGATCTGGAAGAAGCACCTGGCCCTGACGGGCACGCTCGAGCAGAGTCTGCTCGACGACTTCGTCTCGTTCTGGCCAGCCTACCTGTCCGAGGAAGACGCGAAGCACTTTGTAGAGACGTTCAGATGCGGCGGCTTTTGCAGCGACGACGTACTCTGAATCCTGCTGCATCGCTGTCCACACTGAGTGTTAATGTATTCCGCTGGTAACCTCTTCCTGCATTTTTCATGGAAGGAAAACTATTCCGATGGCCTGCACGTCTGCGATGTCTCAAGTCAGGTTGTGGCTGGTCTGAAATCGTCTCGTTGTGCCAGCCATTGCGCCGCACAAATCCCAGTCTGCTACCCTCTTTCTACCATTGGTATCATCATCCCACGAGCGCATCGCTGTGCAATGACCTCATCATCTCCCGTGGCCCAACCTACTGAGCACTTCTCCTCCGCCCAGTCTTCCAAGCCGACCCTCCCGTTCTGTTATAGCTTTCCATCGACGTCTCGCGACTGGTGCCACATCGTATCTCGTCTAAGGGACAAAGGCTGCGGCGCGCTCCCCCTCGGCATGCTCGGCATTGGCGAGACCGAACAGCCCATCGACCCGGCGGCGTACGTCCTGAGCCAAACATCGAAAGAAATTGCCCATGTCTTGGACGCCACGAAGCTTGGTAAGGTTTATGCTATCGGCCATGGCTGGTGAGCTCGTCTCGTCTCTCCTCAGTAGTGGCGGTCTCAGATACTGAACTGCCAATTACAGGGGCTGTAAGGCAATCTCACACCTCACGAGCTACCATCCCGGGCGTATCTTCGCCTACGTCTTCCTCAGCATCTCGTTCGTACAGGTACTGGCCTCGATGAACTTCCAGGAGCTCTTGGGCTCCCTGAAGCAACAGCTCGGGTAAGACGTTCAGCTAATGGAGATTATTGAGCGATCTAGACGCGAACGAAGTCATCCAGATGCACGTGGTGGACGCGCCCACCTCGTCCCGCAGTTACTGACGCGTTTCGCAGACCGACTCGTTCGTCAACGTCAGTTTTTGTACGACTCCGAGATCTGGAAGGAGCGCCTGATGTCGACGGGCATGCTCGAGCAGAGCCTGCTCGAAAGCTTCGTCTTGCTCCGGCCGTCTTACCTGTCGGAAGAAGACGCTGTGGGGACGTTCAGACGTCGAGGCTTTGCGGTGCCAACACGCTGGTGCGAGGGCTTTGCCGCAGAGGTACTGCCTGAGCGCATGTCTCTACCGGCCAGAGCGGCGATCCACTTTGCCGCGGTGGGGGATGACTGTGTTTGCCTTTCCAAGACCGGCTATGCGCCCTTTGGGCGGGAAGTGTTCAGCGGGCACAGCGTGGCGATGGAAACATACGACGCGAACCACTGACTGATTCTCTCTCATGTAGACGAGGTTGTCAGCAATCCTGGTGTGTGGATCGAAGGCACGGTGCCACGAAAGCTGACGACTAAACTA